TGTAGAATCGTATTAGCGTAAACGTAGGTTCGTACAGGTGCATGCGTGAGAGAAAAGAAAAAAAGGAATTTTTTTTTTTTTTTATAAACAATAAAGGGAATGATATGGTTTTAACAGCAAAGCACAAATTAATAGAGTACATATATATACCACGGTTCAAAAAATTCTTCCATCGTTCATTACCACTCCACTGTAATTACCATCCGACCAAAAATAATAATAATAATAATAATAATAATAATAAAAACTTATCTGACTGACTATTTTTTTCGTTTTTTTTTTCATAACTTTTAATTATTTTATTTTTTTAAATTAAACCGAATTTTTTTTTTTTTACAAAAGGAAAAATAAGGGATAGTAAAAATAAAAAAAAAAATTTTTACAAGTTTAAAAGTTGAAAAGGTCATTTAACATGATGACAAAGAGAGAGAGAGAGAGAGAGAGGTAAGAAATTTTGTTTATCTACGTACGAGATTAACTAACACTAGAAAATTTAAATAGTTTTTTTTAAAGAAGAAAAAAAATAATAATAATAATAAAAAGAAAATTATATTTTAAAGATAATTTTTTTTTTATCTATGAAAATCCACCTGTGTACAGGTGCCGCATTTGCCGGTAACACTTTCGGTACCTTTTTTTTTTTTTTGTGTACATGATGCGCGGGAGTTACCATCTTTTTTTTTTAAATTATTATACCGTACGTTTTTTTTCCTACTTTGATAATCTTATATATAAGACAAAACCAGGCATGGAAGGTTTTTAAAATTGTGCGGAATCTAATTATTGCTTAGAAAGAAGACTACTCTTGAATAAAAAAAAAAAAAAAAAAAAAAATGGAGATTCACATTGACACGGACGGGTAATTTTAGGCACGAGAACTTGGGGCAAAAGCGGACTATACTCATACCCGTTTTTTTTTTTTTTCATTTCAAGGTTTTTTTGTTTTTTTTCCTATTCTGTCTCATGAGAAATTTCACAAACCTAAATTACCAGTCATTTGGTTTCTTTTTTTTTTTTTACCTTTCAAATATGTTTTATATTGTAGCTAAACAAAAAAAAATTTTTTTTAATTTTAAACGCTTTTTCCACGTTTTGTTTTTAAATTTTTATATCGAGAGTTAAAAAAGAGAGAGACAGAGTGAGGGAAAGGGGGGAATCCCTTTTAATATCGAAATTAAAGCATGAAAAAAAAAAAAAAAAATCAATCGACAAAAATTTATAAACAAACAAAAAACGGAAAATTAATTTTTCGTCTCTTCTCTTTACAAAAAAAAAAAAAAAAAAAAAAATTTAAATAAGTTTACATGGATTAATTATTATTATTATTATTATTATTATTGTAATATTTCACGTGGTTATACCTTAAAAAAACAAAATGAAAACTTCATTTTTTTTTTTTTTCAAATAAAAAAAAAAAAATCCACTCGAAAAATAAAATTAATAAAAAAAAAAAAATATATTGAATTGATTTTGAAATCTAATTTTTTTTTTTTTTTTACAGATTTTCTTCTGCTTTTTTTTTTTTTTTTTGTTTTTACTCTGGAGGAAAAAAATAACTTTAAAGCTAATTTAATGCTTTAAAACCCAGGCTTTAAAAATAAATTTAGGGTTAGGGCCTGGAATCTTTTTATTCCCCACCACCACCACCCGCCGCCATTTCCGCCGCCACCGACGCCGATGACGACGTCGGCATTTTCATCCCATTTTAAATTTCTTTTCATTCATCTTTTATCTTTTCGTAAAAAAAAAAAATTTCTTTTGATTGATTTAAAATTGTGTAGAGAAAAAAAAAAAAAAATTATTTTTTTTTAACAATTTAAAATTCAATTCCCGAATGAAAAAAAAAAAAAAAAAAAGTGGAAGAAGATTAAGGAGAAGAAGAAGAAAAATTAGTCGGATCCTTTTTTTTTTTTTTACGTGGAGAAAGTTTTTTACCTACCAACTTTATTATATTATTTATAAACTCATTTATATGAAATTTTCGTGAGATTCTCAACATTTACACACACACACACATATTCATACAATTATTAAATGTCAGGTATATCATTTATACCTGTACTCATTTAACTTAAAAAAAAAAAAAAAAAAAAAAAAAAAAAACATTTCATAAACTATCTTTTTAAACATTACCATAATTTTCGGTCATTGACTTTTAAAAAAAAAAAAAATTTTCCCTACGAAATTAAGCTTCCATTATTATTATTATTTTTTCAAAATAACGCCATCATTATTTAAGAAATTTTTTTTTTTAAATTAAAATAAATGTTAATTTAATTTGCACGATAATCATTTTTCTTAATTTTAAACCCTCTACGGAAGCATCAGCAACAACAACAACAACAGCAACAACGACAACAACAACAACAACAACAACGACAACAACGACAACAACAACAACAACAACAACAACAACAACAACGACAACAACGACAACAACAACAACGACAACAGAACTATAAACAACATACTTATCACCACCTTTTTTTTTGTTTACATTGATAATAATAAATATATTATTATCATTATCAGCATCATTTAAAAAAGAATTTGCAAATAATAATAATAATAATAATAATAAAATTTTTTAAATTTCAGGACCGGAAATAATTTTTTTTTTTTCTATTGAGGAAGAAAGAAAGAAAAAGTTCCTGACAATGGCACTGAAAGAATTCACGGCTGAATTTGAGGACCGTGGGTCTTTGGTGCCATCTTCAGTAACTTAATACGTGCCACACAAACAACAACGACAAACAACAACAACAAAAAAATTTTTTTTTTTTTTTTTAGTATCTTAAGAAAGAAAGGTACTCGATCAATAAGGCAACATATACTTTCATAATATTCGTAATTTGCATTTCAAAAAAAAAAGAATGTTAATAATTACAAAAAAAAATTTTTTTTTTTTTTTTTTTGATCGGTCATACCAACTTGTTTTACATAATCCATCTTTACAACTAATGATCTTTCTGCACTTTTTTTTAAAATAATAATAATAATAAAAATAATAATAAAAGAATGCATTTAACGAGTAAATATAATCACGACCATTAAATTATCATTAAAAAAAATTTTTTTTTAAATTTTTTTTCGGTGGAAAATTTTTTTTTTTTTTTTCTCCTGTAATTCGTTAAATTTCCGGAAGAGATCCGTTCAAAAATTTATTTATTTATTTTTAAATAATTACTTTAAAAGTTTTGTTTTAAAAAAATGACAAAAAAAAATACGATTAAAAATAAAATTGTAAACTTTATAAGCTCTTAAGTAGTTATATTTTTATAAAATTTAACGTAATTTTCTTTTAATGGCTGATACAAAAAAAAAAAAAAAATTTAATTTTTTCGAATATCGTGAAAGGATGGAAAAATATATAGAAGAGAACTATAAACTATACTATATAGTAAACTATAACAGGTGAAAATGTAAGTCTATAGTTTATAAACAATCAGGGAAAAAAAAAAAATTATTTCAAGGTAAGTTTAATTAAAATTTAATAAATTTCTCACACGATTTATTATTATTATTATTTCCTTTTTTTCTAGGAAATTAAATTTAAAAATTTTATTTTTCAAAAAAAAGAAACGAAGAATAAGAAGATTTTTATTTTAAATGAATAAAAAATAAGATTACTGATTTATTTTAAAAAAATAAAATTTCCCCAACAACAAACCGAGAAGAATACAGAAAAAAAAAAAAAAGTAACAAAACTTTTTTTAAAACCGTGAAGTTAAATATAACAACCATGAAAATGATGTTTCGATTCAATGATTTACGAGAAAAAAAAAAAGAATTTTTTTTTTTTATCATTTTTTCGTGACTGAGCAATAAAAAAAAGAAAAAAAAATTTTTTTTTTTTTGAGAAGATACATGTAATGAACCTAAAAATTTTTTACAATTGTCCACTAGGAATAAGAAAAAAAAAACCTCGTGTACAAAATTGAAATTTTGCATTAAAAATCGATTTTTTCCTTTTTTTTTTCATTACCTTTCTCTCTTCCCCTTCCTTTTTTTTATTACCCTTTCTAAAAAAAAAATTACTCGTTTAAAATTTATGTAAAAAAAAAAAAAAAAAATTTTTTGACCGTCGTCATTTTAACACTTTTTTTCAAAACGTTTACTTTTTAATTTTTTTTATTTTTTTAACGATACATTTTCCATTTGTCATCATTAAAATTTATCATAATAATTTGTTTTTTTGACCACACACACACGCACACACGCACACTCACACGCACCTTATTTTATTACCTTCTACCCCACTTTTAATATTTAAGAACAACATCAACAACAAAAATCGTGAGTATATATTTATATATTTTTTTTATTTCGAATATAATTTATTATTATTATTATTATTATTATTATTATTATTATTATTATTATTATTATTATTATTATTATTATTATTATTATTATTATTATTATTATTATTATTATTATTATTATTATTATTATTATTATTATTCTGTAAACTGTCGTGAATATAAAATGAAAAATTAACTTTGGGAAGAAGAAAAAAATAATAATAATAATATAAAACGTTGTTTAATAATACAATTGTATACTGTCAAATACAAAAAAAAAATAACGTTCGTGTGTTATTATTATTATTATTATTATTATTATTATTATTTATTAAATTTTCCTTTTTTTTTTTTTTTTTTAAAATTCTTTATAAAAATAATTTTATTTTATTTATTTAATAAATAAAATTTTGTCATTTTTGTTTAAACAAAAAAAAAATATATGAAAAAAAAGATGGAAAGAAAAATTTAAAATCGTTTGTAATTAATCATAAAAATAATAATAATAACGTTTTTGCTTTTTTGTTTGTTTACAAAAAAAATTATTATTATTATTATTATTTTAGGTAATTTTTTTTTTTTATGTAAAAATTTCGCGTGAAAATTTTGACTGAAAATTAATAAAATAATAATAAAAAATTTTAAAAAAATAAAATAAAAGATTTTCTCCTATGAAATTCTGTGAAATCTTTTTTTTTGAATTTTGAATTTAATTATATTACGATAATAATAATACGAATCAAATAATAATAATAATAATAATAATAATTCGAGATTTAATTAATAAATTATAATATTTATATAAACAAACACGTGCGGGCGTACGTATTCAATTATTTAAAAATAATAATATTGTTTTAATTATTAAAATTATAAACCTTATATAAATAACATGTTGTTGTAGTTGTTGTTGTTGTTGTCGTACGCGTAATAACAAACAACAACAACACTCTGTTAAATATGATTTTTGGCAAATTTTCTAACCGCAAATTAAAATTTATAATTTTTAGTGGTATTAAATGAGATAAATTATGTTAAATTTAATAAATATTTTATTAATATGTCGTAATAAAACAAAAAATCTTAATTTTTTTTAGGAATATTCTTTCAATCCAAAATAATAATAATAATAATAAAACATTAAGACTTTCACTCACACAACCTTTGAATCAAAAATTAGTTTGTCCTTCGAAAAGTTAAAAAAAAAAAATACAATTACAGAGTCCACCAAATGACCGTTTTTTTTTTTTTTTTTATTCGTCTGCAATGATGGCCCGGATACAATCACGAAATGATGTTTTTAAATCATTTGAGCAAAGGTGCATAAAAAAAAAAAAAACAAAATTGTTGAAGATGTTCACTTGGCCTCAACTAACTTAATTAACAACAACAACAAAAAAAAAGGTACGTAAAGAGTAAACCTGATTTTTTTTTTATCTTAAAAAATCAACCGAGTCATTATTTGCCATATTAATTTTATTATTAAACGTAATTCTTGTGCCACTTTTTTTTTTTTTTTTTTTAATTGTGGAATACCAACGACATGTACTTGAATAAAATAATAATAATAATAATAATACGGTTAATTTTAACGGTTTAAAACAAAAAATTTGTAACACAATTGTGAAAAAACATCATTTAATTAATTATAATATTAATAATAATTATTATTATTATAATAAAAAAAAATTATATCCAAAAATGTTTTGTTAGTTGTAATCGACATTGAGTTTTTTTTCCATGATAAATGACTCATGAATGGTATTAAAAAAAAAAAAAAAAAAACCAATGTGTGTTATTTTATGTTGTTTTAGGTAAACAACAAAACAAGTTTTAAAGGAAAACATAATTTTAGAAATTAATAATTATATGCTAATTATTAAAAAAAAAAAAAAAAAAATGAAAATATTATAGTTGATTATTTTAAAATCAAAGAACCATAACACAAAATAATAGCCTTTGATGATGACTATTATATTTAGTTTATATACAATTTATGGGGACTTACGGTCTAAAAAATAATACGCTCTGATTCTGTTTTATTCTTTTTTTAAAAAAAAATTAATTAGTTGAAAAAAAAATAACAATCTTACCTTTGAGCTCTCAAGTTGTGCGAAGTTAATTTCAAAAATAACGTTTTTTTTTTTTTTTTTTTTTTTTTTGTACATTTAAAATCCCCTCGTTAATTATAAGAGTAAAAAAAAATAATAATAATAATAATTTAAAAAAATTTTTTTTTTAATGTTTCCTCTTTTTTTTTTTTTTCTAAAAAATTTTTAAGCCTTTTTTTTTTATATTTAGATCATTCAAAAAAATAAATAAAATAAAAAAATTTTTTTTTTTATATTGCACTAGTGTAAAAATTAAAATTACATTTTAATGTTTAAAAATCTTTATAAGAGTTTTGTTTTTTTTTTTTTTTGTTTAATTAAATAAATAATCACTGAAAATTTATCCGAATGATATTTTATAAATTATTTTTTTATTTTTATATTAAATTTTCTTTTGAAATTACTGATTTTAGATTTTTGCAACATGTGTGATTGTATTGTTATCTTATGAAAAAAATTTTCAACCGATTTTTACACCACTTTTTAAAGTTATTTTCACTCGTATAAATATTTAAACATGAATAAACTTTTTATAATTAATATACAACATATTAATAATAAAATGGACTCGTGTAAGTATTAAAATAATGTAAATAATAAGAAAAATTTTAACTTAAAAAATGTCATAGTTATCCATTTTGAAATTTTATAACGAAAAAGTCGTGGCAGCAACAATTTCCAGTTATGATTTACTTTATAAAATGGTACCAGCAAGTTATTTAATACACTTTCGATTATTATTTCATTTTGATTTAGTGTTGTAAGTTTAATATTATGTAATCAAATTAAAATCAGCTTTCTATGTTAATTATTAAGAATTTTTTTTATTTTTTTCTCTACAGATGTTCAGTTTCCAATCACTTTTAATTCAAAAACAAAAAAAAAAAAAAATTCAGTTAAAAATGATTAATATGTTTAATAAGTAAATATCTGACAGATAAAGTTTAATCCTATTCTTAAAGAAAAAATTTAATTTTTTTTAAACAATGTATTCGTATATATTACTGTTTTTACTTTTCGTTAATTTATCAGGTTTGTAAAAAAAAAAAAAAAAAAAAATTAATAATGAATTAATTAAGTAATGTTGAAGTTGCCAGTGTAATTTTTTATACCATGTGCATTTTTACAGTTCAAATTCGTACAAAATGTGAAAATTACACACTTCAGTCATCAAAAAATTTTCATGAAATGGCAGAATATATTCAACAGCCCATGGAATATACTTGTCCAAGAGATTTTGATCCTGTGACACACACAATGTGTTGTCATGATGGAAACTGTTGTGAGCCAACATTAGTGTCGATGGCTCCGGTACTTAATAAAATACATAATAAAATTTTTTTTTTTTTCCCCCCGCTGATAATTTTAATTATTATATTTATATTTTTAATTTTCAGTCCAATGATTGGATAATAATGGTCACAGCTATTTTAGTTATATGTTCTTGCCTTGTGCTTACAGTTTTAGCTGTAGTTTGTTGTTTTTGGAGTAAATGTCCACTTTACAATGCTTGCAGAGCCAATTACAGTACCAGTAATGTTATAGTATATTGTAAGCATCTCTCAATCACAAAAATAATTTTTTAATCAAAACATATTTAAATAAAAATTTTTTTTTAATCCAGCATTGGGTAAAGAAGATCCGACACCTCTTATGCCGGCAGAAGATGGTAAAGGAGGTCAATATAAGCCGCAACCGGTCAAAATAAAAATAATGCAAGATGTTTAAGCTTCACTATTGAATTAAGTTTATTTTTATATTTATATTAATTGTGTTTTTATTAAAAGCAATGAAAGCTATTGTAATGTATTTGCTTGTGTGATATGCTTCAAAAGTTTAAATGAATTATGCTTTATATGTAAAATTTATATGCTTCGATAAAGTGATTTAAAAATATTTTTATATAAGAAATTTTACTTTTTTACTGCTTATATTACAAAGTGTTAGAATTAAATGAAATTTTTTAAGCCCAAAATGGTGAACCTGCAAAACTATAATAAATTTTACTCATTCAAATGTTTGAATATTTTTGATACATTTTAATTTAAAAAAAGTAGTATTAGTTTGAAATTTTTTTTTTAATTGATTTTTTTTGAAATATTTAAATTTTTCTATTGAAATTACGACTGATTACAATTTTTAAAAAAAAAATGGGGTAATAATAATAATACTCGTATTTTTTTGATAAGAAAATTTTACAAATTTAAATTTAGCATTATTTAATTGAGCAAATACTTTACTTTTAAAATTAACAAATTTTTTTTTATTGGTATTATTTATTCATATATATAAAACGCACAAAAGGTGTACATTATTTTAATGTATCTAGTCGTCAAGGTATAAGTTATAAAATTTTTTTTTTTCGATTTTCAATGTTAAACCGAGGTTTTTTTTTTTAAATAAAAACTTAATTCATGAACTTATGTTGTTGAAATTATTTTAAATAACTTCTATCTTGATCAGTATTAAATTGATATTATTTTTAATAATTTCTTTGTAATATATATTTTTAATGTTTTTTTTTTTACTTATCGTACATTCCATTTTTAACATAATTTGCTCAATATTGTTTTTATTGTGTTCATTTACTTAGTATTATTAAATATACAAAAAAAAAATGTATTACAAGGTGAAGTTCAATTTTAAATTATTACATGGTATTTTATTTGGCTTTAAATTAAATGTAAGCTTTCGATTATGTATTTTCTGCTTTAAGTTCTTTGAAAAATTGTATTTAAAAATTATGCTCTCTTAAACTTATTTTTGTGTTTTAAAAATTAATCAGTATTAATTTTTTTTTTTTTACTAGTTTTAACTAACAATGAATTTTTTTTTGCCATCACTTTTTACATATTAATTAAGCAACTTTATAATTTTTGTTTTTAACTAGCAATAATTATTTGTTTTTTTTTTTTTTTATAAAATTAAATAATAAATAAAAAACAGTATTTTTAATTTTAAATTCAAGACTGTTGCAAAATATGTAAAAATATAAGTGACTATTAACAAAATTTCTTTTTTTTTTTTAATGTTTTATTTTTTGATTATTTTTTATAAAAATTTTATTGGGATAACCCAATTCAATTAAAAAATATCAATAAAAGAGAGTCGAGTACACAACAGAGACAACACGCTAATTAGATTATTAAATGCAAAAAACTTTCTTTTAAAATTGAAAAAAAAAAAAAAAAAATTCAAATTTTAAAATTTATCGACCAACTGTAAAATATACTGTTCTTCTTTTTGTTTCGCTTCATCGTTTCCACTTTCTCCCAAATTTCCTGCATATTCTAAAAAAATAAAATAAAATTACAAATTTTTGTCAGTTACATTTGTTTTCTTCAAATGTAATAAAATAATTCAAAAAAATAATTACCTCTCATAATGTGTCTGATTGCTTTTAAGGATCCACCCCTGAGATTTATTATTTGTACTACTCTTTGTTTGATACTCGAGGGACCGCTAGAACATACTTCTAATAAAATATAATCTATTAACTGTAAGGTAAATAATCCACCTTCTAATCTTTTTAAATAAACTTCTTCTTCGTCTAATTCTTCTTTGTCAATCTGATAATATTTAAAATTAATTTATTTTCTTATACATGACTAAAATATTTAAAGTCAAACTTATTTTGAATATAAAATTAAACTCACTCTTAAATTTTCTTCTATTTCCATGTCAACTTCTTCGACTTTTTCTAAATATTTAAAATGAAGTTCTAAAAGTCTATCGACTTTTTCATGATCGTTTTCAGTAAATTTACTAAGTAATCTTTGTCTTTGTGATCCTTTACAATTTTTCATCATACTGCATACAATTGACAAAACATGTTCTGTAAAACAAAAAAAAATTAGTGAAATTTTCTTTTTAAATTGTACAAAAAATTTTTAATAAATAAAAAAGCTTTAATTCATCACCTTCATGCTCTTCAACTGTGATAACTTTCTTCCTGTTTTTTTTCGGAGTTTTCATAAACAAAGGGAATATTGTTCTGAGGCCTAATATATCAACAAATTTATTACAATTGTCTTTTCCCTCTGGACCAGACATGGCATGATCTAAAACTTTTAATGATCCATTTCTTGATAATTTTTTTTCCCTAAAAAGAATTTTAAAAAATTAATTTACAAATTAATTAAAAATTAATAAAATTTTTTTTGTCATACCTAAGCATTAAATTCATTAATTGTAAACCTTCTCCCTTAAGGAATTTGTCTTTGTTTGGATGAAACATTAAACATGAACATAAACAATTAAATAAATTTTCCATCATTTCCTGTTCCTCCGTTGAAGCAGGATCATGTCTTTTATAATAAGCAAGCTGTTGTAAAATCACATCAATACCATCTAGTTCTCCTATTAATTCTCGATTTTCTGGAGTGTTTTGTAATAGAATTGATAAAATTTCTGATGCATAAAGTTTGTTTGCATCAAAAGGAAGCTTAACCCTTAGTCGTTTTAGTAACCAAGAGAACAGACCTTGTTTTGCAGCATTGGCACAAATTTGAGGCCTAAATTCTGTTAAATTTTCAAAAATAGCTGGAAATAAATAAGGAATTTTTTTTTTAATTTGAAAATAATTTTTGAATTTTTATCAATTAAATCAGGTCAATTATTTTAAATTTTGTGGGTATTAATACAAATTAGTGTAATAACCTAAAGTATTGTGAACTCCTTCAGCCTCTTCTTTGACCGATTCATCTAATCTTTCCAAGTTTTGAACTAATAAAGCACAAACTTGTTGATTTAGAAGTGCATCAATAAGGGAATCAGCTCCTTCTTTACTCTCGTGGAGAATGTCAACATCCGTTATTTCCTAAATTAAATATTTTTTTTAGAATTCAAAATTTGAAATCATAATTGTGATTATTTTAAAAAATATTACTTGTAATAGATCAACTACTGCTACTGCTATATCAGTATTTTCATGTGATAAAAGTTCCAAAAGACTATTGATTGCATTAACTTGAACCAAAACTGGATATAAATCAGGAACTGTAGCTACGACATGAAGTTCTTGAATAGCTTCGTGAAGTTCAACCTCAGATTCCATAAATTTTTCAGGATTATCTGGAAATTTTATTCTCATTTCTTGATTTTTTAAGGTCCTTTTTTCAAAAAGCAATGTAAGTTTTTTTAATGCTGTATCATCTAACACACTATCCTAAAACGATTCTTAATAATTAGAAATTTAAAAGGTTTAATAGTTAAATTGATGTTATTATAATAATAATGAAATTACCTCTGTCATAACCATTTCATCCACCAATTGCTGAATTTTTTCTCTTTCTTCATTGGTAATAACTCCACCATTGCTTGCATCTTCATTTGATTCAGCCAACATTTTTTTTTCCAACTCTTCTTTCATTCGCCGAACTTTTTCAGCTCTTTCAATTTCAACGGCTCTAGCCTTAGCCATTTTGCGAAGCTTTCTTTGTCTATTGTAATCATCATCTTCTTCATCTGAATCTTCTCCTTGAGGTCTTTTGGGAGTATTAATTGGCTAAAAAAAATCATATTAAATATATATTCAATTTTGTTGTTGATTATAATATAAAGTACTAATTTTTTTTTTTTAAATTTTTTTCAATATAAGTAAGCAAATAAATCTTGTTTTATTTATATTGCATTTAATTTTACTTTAAAAGCTAAAATATCTCCAATATCCATGGTTCTGTTTGTATTTTACCACTTATAAATAATAAAATCCTCGTGTAAACAATATTTTATTGCTGCCACGAAAGTTTTCATTCATCAGATTGACTCTGTTCCCACGTTTACTTGGAATTTTAGCGTTTCAAAATGGCGAATGTCAGTTACTTAATTTACATTTTCTCATTAAGTTTTAAAATATAATTATTTAAAAAATTTTTTATGCTATTTACAATTCATTTTTAGAAATTTAATTTTGTTTTTTTTTATTACTTTTTTTAAATTTAGTATTTTTAAATATTATTACAATTTGAATACTAATTGCATTACTTTAAGTATGTAAAATGAGTAAAATTTTTAGATATTATTTATTTTTATATTTAAACAGTGCAGTATATGAAGTATGCCTATAATAATTTTAATAAAATAATTTTTTTTTTGTATTTTTAGGTTTTTGTTTCAAGCAAACAAAATGTCAGTCAAAAAAGAAAAATGTTTTAGTAATGATAATACAGAAATAATAAACAGACAGTTGATAACTGATATTGTAGGAAATCCTCTGATAGTACACAGTGGTGTTATGCTGTCTTCTGAAAAAGTACTTAAAGAAAGTAGTTTTGCCAATAATGTAGATAATAAAACAAGAAAAATATTATTTGAAAATAAACTTTGGAGTTTAAGTGACAATACATCATCAAATTCAGCAGACTGTTCTATGTGTAAAAATTTGTGCTTCCAGTGCAAGGGTACTTGTGTTACTTGCAAAAATCCTTGTCAAAAATGCTCTGTAAAACATTGTAATATATCTACAGATACAGATGATTTTGACAAGTATTTAGATTCTCAGGCGAAAAAAATTAAAATTCAAGTAAAAGTTAAAACAATCGGTATTGACACTTGTGATTTAGATAGTCATTTTGATTATTATAGAATAGATAGAAAACCGATAATAATTCAAAAAAATGTAGCAACTGATTGTATTGATTTAAATGTCAGAACAATTGTTAAAAAACCAATCAAAAATTCAATCGGTATTGATACCAGTGACCTGTTGGCAAATACTTCAAGACATTTTTTGAGTGATGACAGTGATTGTGATTTTTTGCCACTACAAAATAAAAATGATAAAACATATTATAAAAAAAATAATATTTTAGAATCAAATATCAATAACAAGTATGATTTTAAGAATTCTACTGATCCTCAAATTAATAACTCTAATTTATTAGTGTCTAATGAAGGTGGTGATCAATTAAGTGAAAATAATAGTTTTAAGGAAGTAATTTTTGATTCTTGCTCAACTTCAGATGAATCCGATGTTGATCTTATAACATCGTGTAAACTATCAAAATGTAGAAAATTGGCAAAATTACACAAAGTATCTCTTAAAGAAATCAAAACTGCAAATAAAGTTTTATTTAAATGCAGTATTTGTGAAAAAGTATTTGATAAAAAAAGTTTAGGAATATTACATTTGGGGAGTCATTTAGATAATAATAATTTCAATTGTTTAGAATGTAATAAAAAATTTTTGTCATTAGAATTGTTGGTGTCACACATTCAAAGTAATCATTCCTGTTTAAATGTTGATGTAATGAAAGAAAATGAAAATATTACAAAAGAAAATATTTCAAATAATAGCACTCAAAAATTTCATGGTAATAAAATTTATCAATGTGCATTTTGCTCGAATGAAAATGAATCTTTGGTTCAATTTGATTCGTACAAAGCATTGTATTTGCATAAAAAAATAAAACACGGGATAACCAGATCAAAAATAAAAAAAAATGAAAATAAAGGTGAAAAAAAGTTAAGAATAAAAAGAGAATTTATTTGTTTGATTTGTGGCAAACAATTTAAAAGTTCAAAAGCATTGAAAGATCATTCTCCCGTTCATACTGGAGAAAAAAATTACCATTGCGATATTTGTAACAAATCATATACAACGAGTGCTAATTTAAAAATTCACAAGAGAACTCATACAGGTGCGAGAAATTTTGTTTGTACAGTTTGTAATAAAGCATTTCATAAAAAAGATAGTTTAAAAGTACATTTTAGAAAGCATTCTGGAGAGAGACCTTTTCAATGTGATTTATGTCCAATGAAATTTGATAGAAATTACATTTTAAAAAATCACAGATATACTCATTTTTCAGAAAAAACATTTATTTGTCCCATTTGCGGTAAAACTTTTACAACTCACGGGGGTTTGAATAACCACGAAAAAGGACATAAAAAAGATCCACTAGTGAAAAAACCGCGAAAACCAGCAGTAAAGCCAACATTAGATGCTGAAAATGCTGTAATATGTGACGTTTGCGGGAAAATTTATTCAACGAAAAGCAATTTGAGAATTCACAAATTTGTACATTTGGGTGTGAAACCCTTTGAGTGCACAATTTGCCATCAAACGTATGCAAAAAAAGATTCAATGTTGACTCACATGAGAAAGCATACAGATGAAAGGCCATTTGCTTGCGAGACTTGCGGAATGACATTCTATAGAAATCACACATTGAAAACTCATCTTTTACGTCACACAGGAGAACGTCCTCACAAATGTAAAATATGTGGTAAAAGTTTTACACAATCTTCATCATTGGCTTACCACGTTAAAAACCATGACAAAAAAGTCGAAAGGAAAAGAGTCGTAGGAAACGGTACGGGAAAACCTAAGAAAAAACGCATTCTCCAGGGTAACAGTAAATCAAATTTAAGTAACGTGAAGAAAACATTATTAAAAATTCAAAAAACAAATTTAGATTTCGAGACGGAAGAATCGAAAATTATTTTCGTGAATAAAAAATTAAACGAAGAACCTTCGGTGATGAATAATTTAAGGAATTCGCCGTCGGGAAATTTAGAAGAAGAGAAAACAATGTCGAAGGAATCGCATTTTGCATTCACCGTACCGGAAAAGGAAATTCTCATACTGGATAAAAATCTCAGCGTTGAATTTTCAAAAAATATTCACGGGAATAAAGACGTGGATCATATTTTAAACATGGATAAAGATCTTTCGTATCACAATAATCAGTATAATCTGGGAAAGTTCAATTATTACATAGCGGAAAGTCACGTTTTCTCGGTGCCAAAAGACTCGGTGAAGGTGAAAATGGAAAAAAATGACGGAGAAGTTGAAAATTTAATTATATCTAAAAATAGTAGTTACATAACAAAAGAAGGCACATTAATCACGCTTAACCGTAATACAAATTTAAAAGAAGAATATTTAGAATTAAGAGATCAAAGATTAGATTTAAAAGGGGAAACGGGAGTTCCGATAAGTGGGGAAATATTAAATGCAGCTTTCGTAAGCGACGAAAATGGTCAAGTCATACCTTTTAGTTCTATGACATTGCAAGGGATCAATGCGGACAACAACGTTAATTCCGTCATATCCGTAGACGGCGAAGGAAAAAAAGGTTATTCGAAAGGTCCGAAATTAACAATGTTGGAATCTAAATTAAGTTACAACGTACCATCGTCCCAAAGGTTTCAAAACGATAAAAATCAAATTAAAAGTAATTGTCACATAATTAATTTGAAAGATGAAAAAGGATCGCAAAAAATTCAAATTGAATTAGAATCTCCATCTTTTCATTATCAGAATGCTGTAGGTGAAGATGGTACGCTTCAGGGAATCCCCGGGTTTTATACAAACGTACAAACTAACGAAATCTGAAAGAAAATGAATGATGATAATAATAATTTTTTAATAAGATAAAATCTATAAATATCAAATGTAATGTAAAGTAAATTATACTCTTCGAATGCATTCTGTGCATAAATATAAAAAAAAATTTCACATTTAAATTATAAATAATCTGCGGTTTGTTATTTAATGTAAGGTATCGTTTATTTTAAATTATACACTTTTTTTTATATTTTTTTTTATGTAATATTACTTTACACAAATGTACATAAATATATATATATAATTTAAAATTAAATAACAATAATAAATTATTGATTTTTATTATTAGGGAAACAATTCAATCTTTTTTTTTCCCTCTATCTTTAACAAAATAAAAAATTGTTCTGGGAAATAATGATTGTTCATACAAAATCATATCAAAAAAATATATGTATTTTAATAATATGACAAATCCGTTATTTTTTATTTTTTAAATAAAATAATACTGATGATAATTCTTAGAAAGATACAACAAAAAATATTTAATTTATTAAAACAAGGCAATTAATTCTTAGTAAAATATGTATTAGGGGGGAAAAAAAATCATTTAGTTTAATTTTAACAATTGTTAAATAAATTCATACAATTTAATCAAAATAAAATTATTTTTACATGAGAAAAATATATTATTTTCAAAATATAATAAATCAAAAGTAATTTATTATTATTAAGTTTGACATGTTTGCAAGTTGTTGTTATAATCTTAAATTTTAAATATTTACATTTGATTCAAGTACAATTTTTTTAAAATTGAAAAATTTTATTTTTATTATTGAATGATAAAAAAATTAAGTATAAAGGATAAAAATCCCGCCAAAAAACATAAAAGAAATAATTTTTTTTTTTTAAAGCCGCCATCTTTGATAATAGTTTAAAAAAAAAAACATCATTTTAAATGAAATATTGTCACACAGCTATTGTTTTCAAACCCTACTAATACATATAAAAATAGATATATATATTATAAAATAAAAATAAAAAGTCACCAAAACAAAAACTAATTGTCAAATAATAATAAAAAAATATGAAAATGTATAAAAAAAAAAAAAAATTGGTATGACGTTTTAGTTTTGCATTTAATTAAATAGGGACTTACATGCTTTACAATGGGTCAGGACATGGTCAAGTGTAAAACCGTAAAATAAGAAAAGAACTATTTTTTGTTGCGGAAGGATACTGTCTAGCCATTTTGCCAAAATGTTAATAACAATTCATTATGGCGTAGACATTTGAATGCCATGAGTGATATTTAACAAAAATTACTTTTTTTTTTTTCTTTATTTCTTTCTTTTTTTTTTTTTTTTTTTTTTTTTTGTGGTAATAAGTGAAAAAAAAAAAAAAGAAAAGAAAAAAGTTACGTGAAAATTACAATCGATACATTTACGATTTTTATTGGTTTTAATAAACGGCAATGTTTCTTTATTTAAAAAATAATAATAATAATAATAATTTTTTCATTAGTTTTTAAAAAAATGATGAAATTTTATTTAAATAAATAAATAATTAAGAAAACTTTTGTTTTGTTGCGTGTTTTTAACCGAATGAAAAGAATCATTGTAAAAGTGAAATAAAATAATTTCCATTAATAAAAAATATATATATTATGAATTCAATGTTGCCTTTTTCACCACCAATAGTAAAAAGGTTATTAGGATGGAAAAAAGGAGATTGTAATGATGATAAATGGTGTGAGAAAGCAGTTAAAAGTCTTGTTAAAAAATTAAAAAAAAGTTGTGGATTAGAAGAACTTGAAAAAGCAATCACAACACAAAATCCAAATACAAAGTGTGTTACTATACCCAGGTAAATTATATTTTTCTTATATTATTTATTTTATTTTATTTTCATCTCTTTATAAAAAATAAATAAATAAATAAATAAAATGGATTTTATTTTACATTCATTAACCGGCTTTCCCATTGTTTTGATTGCAAAAGGCAAAAGTCTATATATATATATATATATTGTGTGTGTTTGTGTATCTGTTTGTGTACGAGATTTTCAATTCATTCTTTAATACAAAAACAAATGCAAATCGTTAAATTAATTAATCCATATATTATTTTTCTAACCGTATTAATTATCATTATAATTAATTTAATAAATTTTCTTAATCGTGATCTTTCAATTTTCACATCTATATCAACCATTATTATTATTATTTTTTTGTATTTGAAAAATCTGTTTGACTTATGAATTTTTTTTTCAGAGAGACTTTACACATCGAATTTAATTTTATTATTTATTTTTAATAATAACCATTAAAATATTTATAATTAACTATTAATGACTCTAATCCATTATTATTTAAACAATAGTTTTGTAATATTATTATTATTATTATTATTAAATTATTAAATAGGACTACATTTTCATCCGCACATGTAATTCGTCTCATATTGTCCTTCAATTTTAACGATAGTGGCAGCCTACGCTTGCCATTTGTAAGTTCGTTCGTTTATTTTTGTTTATTATTAATTTCAATATTTATTTTTATAGCCATTAAACATTAAAATTTTTATTATTATTATTATTATTATTAATATATTTTTTATATTTTCCTTATTTTTACAATATTATTATTACTATATATAAACAGTCATAGACATTTCATTTTTTTTATTAATGATTTTCAAATGTTTGAATTTTGATTAATAAAAAAAAAAACCATATTATTAATAATTATTATTAATTTAATTTACAATTTGTTTTATTTCACTGTGATTGTTTCATTGAATTCATTTTATTTTTTATTTTTTGTATTCATCTGTATATTTTGTTATATCAGTGATTCGTTTAACAATATTTTTCATATATATATACATATATGTTTATCTCTTAACTAATGTTCGATTTGACCATGCATCATCAATTGCTGTAATTTATGTATTATTTGGTTGTAAAAAAAAAAAAAAATTGCTCATAAACAATTTATTCAAGGATTTAATTTTATCAAATAAAGATGATCATTAAATTTTTTTTGGTTTTTCATAAAATTATGCTTACATTTAAATAATTTCCTGATGACATAGTTATGTATTTTTTTCCTTCGTTCTGTACTTATTCGATAATCCTGTTTATTACAAATGTTTTTTAAAATAAAATAATTTTAGAGAAATTTTTTGTTTTTATGACAAGATATGATTCACCATTGATCAAAAATTGAATTGAATTTTTTTAAATTATGCTTATGTTTACTTTTTTTTTTATTTATTCATTTACACAATCGATCATTATGTAAAAATTATTATTTAAATAATTTTGATTGAAAACACTCGTGTCATAATCAATTGTAATTTGTTAGGTAAAATAAAAACTAATTCATTTAATCATCTTTGTTTGACTTATCTCTGCTTTACATATGTAAAATTATATTCTAAATTTATATTTCATCATTATTATTATTCTTTTAAAAATATTTATTATTAAATATTTAAAATGCATCATGGTAATATCTCGATACTATTCTTTTTGTACTCATAGGTTTTTTTTTTTCAATATTTACAAGCATATACGACATTTTTTTTTTTTATGTAATTATTTATTTACAAAAAAAATTATGTATTTTCCCAATTCTATAAATATGTATGCATGTATGCGGACACATATTTATTCTTTTTAACTTATGTAAATATTAAATTTGTTATGAATATGATTGTAATTTTCCCAAGTGATAAAATTTTGTTTATTTAAAATATGTTATATTAGAATTTTTATTTTTTTTTATTTTTTTTTTTTAGTTCGGACGTATGTGCTCCTCCAGGACATCGCAAAGGTTTGCCACATGTTATTTATTGCAGATTATGGCGTTGGCCTGAACTTCAATCACATCACGAATTAAGGGCATTAGAAACTTGCCAATATGCATTCAGTTTAAAAAGGGAAGAGGTTTGCGTTAATCCTTATCATTATCAGAGAATCGAAAACACAGGTAGTATGCATAAACAAAAGACTTTTTTTTCTCATAGTTCATTTCGGTCGTTTAACTTGTAAAAATAATAATAATAATTTTTTTTGTTGTTTAAATTTAAGGAATAAATCACTCGTACGATCTTTTACCACCCATATTGGTTCCTCGACATTCGTTGACCTCCGAAGATTCGTCAAATTTATATCCAACAACGATCCAGTGTGGCGATTTAACTCCTTCAATACCCGAAAATATTTCTTTTTCTTCCTCAGCTTCACATATGGAGGTACAGACGAGTTTTTTTTTTTTTTTGCTTCGGAGTCAATTAATGTGAAAAATATGCAATTTAGTACGCGAATCTTACTTAAAAACTTTAGATATAAGATTACTTTTATTAAATCAAATCCCATAATCAAATTTCTTTTATTTCTTTGAAAAAATTTTTTTTTTATTTTATTTTTTATACTCGAATTTACACAAACTTTTTTTTTTTTTACTGTTAATTTAGGTTCCCCTCATACACGGTTACCCAGTGAGTCCGTCAGAATTAAGTCATAGTCCTCAAGCTAGCATTGATACTCCAGCGACAACAGAAACGCCTCCTCCGGGATATATAAGCGAAGACACCGATCACAACGACAATATAAGTAAATAATTGATTACGTCATTTCAATAACTTTTAAAACGAACGAGTGGAATACTTATGAATTTGAACTTTTTCAGGTTTGTCCAGGTTAACGCCAAGTCCACCGATAGACGCCCAACCTGTTTTATATTGTGAACCTGCATTTTGGTGTTCAATTTCTTATTACGAGTTAAACACGAGAGTAGGTGAAACTTTTCACGCTTCTCAACCTTCCATTACAGTAGATGGTTTTACAGGTAGAGAAAGAAAGAAAAAGTTTTTTGTAATGTTATCAATGAAGAATTTTTTATTTATTTATTTATTTTTTTTTCAAATTTCAGATCCCAGTAATTCGGAAAGATTTTGTTTAGGTTTGTTATCAAACGTGAATCGAAATGCGGTTGTCGAACAAACGAGGCGACATATTGGAAAAGGGGTTCGACTGTATTACATTGGGGGTGAAGTTTTTGCCGAATGTTTGAGCGATTCTTCAATATTTGTTCAGAGTCCAAATTGCAATCAAAGATACGGTTGGCATCCTGCGACCGTTTGTAAAATACCTCCAGGTATTTTATTTTTTATTTTTAATTATATTAAAAACTTTAAAAAACTCTTGTGAAAGAGAATTTTAACGATTTAAATTTATTTGTGTAAATTTATTTCGACCGTTGTTTGATTGTTTTTCGGTGTACGATAACCAAAAAGGTTCTTTTTCATTATTATTATTATTATTATTGTTAATTTTACAGGCTGCAACTTAAAAATATTCAATAATCAAGAATTTGCCGCTTTGTTATCACAGAGCGTTTCTCAAGGTTTCGAAGCTGTTTATCAATTGACGAGAATGTGCACGATACGAATGAGTTTCGTAAAAGGATGGGGTGCGGAATATCGGTAAATATTTCTTACTTGTTTCATTATTATTATTATTACTGTATACCAGCAGCAATTTAAGAAAAATTGTTTTTTTTTTTTACTGCATGCTGCAGGAGGCAAACCGTGACTTCAACACCGTGTTGGATAGAACTTCATTTAAACGGTCCTTTACAGTGGTTGGACAGAGTTTTAACTCAAATGGGTTCACCAAGACTTCCTTGCAGTTCAATGAGTTAAATTGAAAGGCGAAAAGAGTCACAGTAAAGTTAATTAATAATAAATGTTTCAAAACAGAAAAAATTCCGTTTTTAACGAAAAATTTATAATTTTTTTTTATTTTACCCCAAAAGGAAGAAAAGAAATTTTATTGTGTTATTTTAAATACGGTTATTTAAGCCTTTTAAATAGGTTGAATTACATTTGAAACTGATACATTCAATGGCGATTAAAGAATGAAAGACGTTTTTTTTTTTGTTTTTTTTTTATTATTATTATTTTTTTTTTTTGTTTTATTTTTTATTTTTATTATTATTATTATTATTTTTTTTGTTATTTATTGAAAGCGGTAGGACGCAAAAGCTTTACGGGGGAAAAAAAAAAGAAAAAAGACTTGATTTGTTAAGGTAAACTGTCTAACGCACGGTAGAAATTGTATCCTAATATTTTAAAAAAAAAAAAAGAAAAAAACTGCCTAAAATCTGTTCAAAAAAAGAAATTGATTGTAGAAATTAGTAAAAATATTTAATGTTTAATACTTTAATGTTTTTAGATTTTAAGACTTATTATTAATAAGTATATTCGTAGTAAAAAAAATTCACAAAAAGTTATTTTGAAAAAAAAAAGAAAAACAGGTATTTAGATTTGTTTAGTTTTTTTTTTTTTCTCTCTCTCTCTCTCTATTACTCTTAGGATATTAATCCTAGCCGTGTATTCTTTTTTTTAATTTATAAAAAAAAAAAAAAAATCAAATTGCTCACATGTTTAACAAAAGAAAAGTTTTTTTTTTATTATTATTATTAAACGTCGACAGGTTACTTTTTTTAAGTTAATGTATATATATACCCTGCAGTTACTGTTTTTTTTTTTTTTTTTTTTTCGTCTTATTAAAATAATAATAATAATAAACTCTTTGTGATTTATATAAAAAAAAATAAAATTATTATAAATATATATATATATATATATATATATAAATATTTACGTAAATAGTATAGTGTGTATATTCATAAAATTTATGTTTTTTTATATTTAAATAAAAAATTTCGAAATTTTTTTTTCTTTTTTTTTTTTACAGTAATGTTGCCATATTGTTTGGAATAAACTATTTTTTTTTTAAAATTGTTATGCTTAAATGTTTAAAAAAAAAATAAGAAAGCGTTTTTAATTAATTAATAATAATAATATTATATTGATATGAAAAAAAAAAAATTTATTTCAATTTAAAATTTAAAAGCAAAATTTATTGTTTTATTATTATTATTTTTTTTTAAATTTTAATTTGACGTTTAAATGCTTTAATTGTAAACAATTGGAAAATTGTTCTATTATTATTATTCTCGGTTTATTATTATTATTATTTAAATGTTGACGATTTGTTTTAAATTTTAATGGATAAATTATTTTAATTAAAAATTCGGTGATTGATTGATTGATTAATTATTCGATGAAAAATTTTTATTATTATTATTATATAATTAATGAGTTATTTAAATTGTCCCAGTTTTTTTTGTTAATATTATCATTTTTTTTTTTTTTTTTATTATTAAATAAATAATTTGTAGTTATTAACTCATTATTATTGTTTTTTTTTTTTTTTAAATAAATAAGTTATGTAGTTTGTTTCTAACTACAATATTATTTATTGATTTTAATTAAACGTCTTATTAAGTTTGATTTATTGTTATTTTATTGTAATATTATTTCTTATGTCTTTAAATATATTTTTTTTTAAATTTATAATTATACACGTCACGTTTCTTATTTTATTTTTTTTTTTTTATTTTATTTTACATCTGATTAAAAAGAAAATTATTAATTGTTTTATTCGAGAAATTTTTTTTTGTTTTTACAACGACTGATTTTTTTATTTTTTTTATTTTTATATAAAATTAACTAAAATTAATTTTTAAATTATTTAGTTTTGAAAATATCATAGAGTAAATAAATAAATTGTAGAATGTAAACATTTGTGTAATCCATTTTGTAATTTGCTAGAGTTAACATTATTCAAATAAAATTTTATTTATTTTATTAATTTCTGAATTTATTTTAAATAACATATAAATATAAATAGGTTTGTTAATGATTTATTATTTTCAATTACGAATAATTATAATTAATTTTTTTTCTATTTTTTTTTTTGAAAATTTTATTATAGAAGAGTGTATTAATAATAACGTTTTTTTTTATTACTTTAAAATTTATTTATAATAATATCAACGAATTTTTATTATTATTATTGATATTTTGAGTTTTTAAAAATTGTAATTGACACATATTATTATTATTAAAAAAATAAATAAATTTTATTTTGAATTCGTTTTTCGTATTGAAATTCATTTATTCGTTCATTAAAAAAAATTTTTCTTGTTTATTTTAGGTTTCTACATGTTTTAAATTTTAGCGGAAAATGAAAAACCGTTTCCGTTTCATTAAAAAAAAAAAATTTCGAGACATCAAATTTAATCAGTACTGTTTTAGTGGAACAGGTGAGTGAAATAATTATTTAAATTATTAATTTTAATTAAATAATTTTACAGTTTTTCTTTTTAAAAAGGTTTAAAACTATTAAAAAAAAAGAATTAGGTAATTTTGTATGCAAATTTTATGCAAATGAATTTTACGTTTTTTTTTTTTTTTTTTTTGAAATTGTTCGCCCTGTTTCTCGTCCGTTAATTTTAAAAAATTCCAGAACGCGATTTCTCTTTATGCAAAGTAGGAATTATCTTAAAACTGTACAGATGGTTATGATTTGAAAGGGATATAAAATACGTTTGTTAAATTTTATTAATTTATATCTATGGTTAAATTTAGTGATTTTGACATTTACAAGGTCATTAGTTGAAGAAAAAAACGTTTTTTCATGTACGTTCTTGCTTTCGAATTTAAAACTTTATCTTTGTTAGTAACGAAATTCATTTTAATACAAAATGGGAGGTAAATTGTCAGCTATGGATCCAATGGAAGTCGAAGTACCTGATATTTCTACACTTTTTAAAAGAGATCCTTGGCTTCAGCCATACGAAAAAGAAATTAGAAAAAGGTAAATTATTCACCGGCAAAAAAAAAAAAAAAAAAACTTTGAAATTTTTACTTGTTTCTATTTTATAACTTTTTGAATACTGGTATTAAGTGAATTTTAGTATTTTAACTTTGATTTATTAAAAAATTAATATTATATTGTTTTTTTTTTATCAAGATATGCAATATTTAAAGATTTTTTGGATAAAATTGTCGAAAAGGAAGGAAGCATAGAAAAATTTTCAGAAGGGTACAAATATTATGGAATGATATTTAATGAAGATAATTCTGTAACTTGCAGAGAATGGGCCCCAGGAGCTTCTGAACTTTATTTAATGGGAGAATTCAGTAAGATTTTTGTTTTAATAACTATTTTAAAAGTATTAAAAAAAACTTGCTAAAGCATCGCTTCTTATTGGTGTAAATAAAATTAATTGATAAAAAAACTTTTTTCAGATAACTGGAACAGGAATAGTCACAAATTTGAAAAATTACCTTATGGAAAATGGGAGTTAACCTTACCTCCTAATCCTGATGGTTCATGTTTAATAACTCATTTATCTGAAACTAAGGTAGTATAAAAAAAAAACTTCTCGTAAATTTTATGTTCAGAAATAATTAAACGACTATAAAACTGAAGTTTTTTTTTGTTAATTTTTTTAGTTAATTGTTCGCAATCAAAATAATGAAGAACTGGAAAGGTTATCTCCATGGGCTTCATATGTAGTTCAACCACCAGAAAATGAAGGTTATCTTTTTAAACAGAAAGCTTGGAAGCCAAATGCTCCATATAAATTTAAATACGATAAAGTTAAAAGACCTGAAAGTCTTAGAATATATGAATGCCATGTTGGTATTGCATCTTCTGAACCGAAAATTGGAACCTACAAAGAATTCGCTAATAACATCATTCCCAGAATCACAAAATTAGGTATTTAAAAATATTTTTTCAGGTTTTTTAAAAGTACTATTTAAGTAAAAGATATTTTTTTTTTAAATAGGGTATAATGCTATCCAATTAATGGCTGTCATGGAGCATGCATATTATGCTTGTTTTGGATATCAAGTCACCAGTTTTTTTGCTGCTTCCAGGTGAGCATCTTTTAAATATTTATTTTTTAAAAAAAATTTTAACTTTTTTTTAATACAATTCTTTTTTTTACAGTCGATTCGGAACGCCAGACGATCTAAAAGAACTTGTTGATGCTGCTCACGCTGCTGGATTGTATGTCTTATTAGACATCATTAATTCTCATGCTTCAAAAAATACTTTGGATGGATTGAATCAATTCGATGGAACTGATAGTTGTTATTTTCATAGTGGTTCAAGAGGAGTTCATCAGCTTTGGGATTGCAGAATGTTTAATTTTTCAGAGTAAGTTAATTTTAACTTAAAATTAAAAACCGATTTTAGCGAAATTCAGGTTTAATGTTATTAAAATTTTTTTAAAGATATGAAGTTGTCAGATTTTTATTGTCAACGTTAAGATGGTATATTGATGAATATAATTTTGACGGTTATCGGTTTGATGCCATCACGGCCATGTTATACCACAGTAGAGGAATCGGGGAAGGATTTAGTGGAAATTACGATGAATATTTCGGTTTAAATGTAGATACGGACGCTATTGTCTACTTAATGTTGGCAAACCACATGCTTCATAAAATGTATCCCGATGTAGTAACTATTGCTGAAGTTAGTTTATATAATTTTAGAAGTTTTTTCTCGCTTAAATTTAGATTAAAAATAATAACTAATAATTTTTTTAAAGGATGTTTCAGGAATGGCCAGTCAATGCAGACCCGTAGAAGAGGGTGGAATCGGTTTTGATTACCGTTTAGGAATGGCAATTCCTGACAAGTGGATAAAATTATTAAAAGAAGTGAGAGACGAAGACTGGAATATGGGAAATATTGTTCACACTTTAACTAACAGACGATGGATGGAAAAAACGATTGCATACGTTGAAAGTCACGATCAGGTACAGAATAAATTTTTTGTTTTTTAACATGATAAATAAATTTAAAAATAAAATAGCCAAACAAACTTTAACTAAAATAATTGAAATTCTATTTTTAGGCTTTAGTTGGGGATAAATCAGTTGCCTTCTGGTTAATGGATAAAGAAATGTACACACACATGTCTGTTTTATCCGAGCCAAATATTATTATTGATCGTGGCATCTCATTACATAAAATGATCAGACTTATAACTCACGGCCTTGGGGGAGAAGCTTATTTAAATTTTATGGGTTCGTAATTAATAAATTTTTTTACCAGACGAATATAAAACATAAACTACATTTCTTTTTTTTTTCGGGAAAAGGAAATGAATTCGGTCATCCAGAGTGGTTAGATTTTCCCAGGGAAGGAAATAATAATTCATATTTTTACGCAAGACGCCAGTGGAATTTAGTTGATGATGATCTTTTAAAATATAAATTTTTAAATAATTTTGATGCTGCCATGAATCAATTAGAAGAAAAATACGGTTGGCTTCACAAAGATTCGGTAAATTATTTGTAATTAGTTTGCATTTTGTTCGTCTTGAACTTGAAAGTAAAAAAAAAAAAAAATTTGTTTCGATAGGGTTTTGTTAGTTGCAAACACGAGGATGATAAAATAATTGCTTTTGAAAGAGCAGAATTGCTTTTCTTATTCAATTTTCATCCCCATAAAAGTTTTACGAATTATCGAGTCGGAGTCGAATTACCAGGAAATTATAAAATATTATTAAGTTCGGATGATTCTGATTACGGTGGTTTTGGACGTATCGACACGTCACTGACATATTCCACATCGTCCGAGGGTTCACACGGTCGTAAAAATTCTTTGCTTGTACGTACAATTTGCGCATTTATTCAAAAATAAATTTTTACGATAATATAAAAATATATTTTAAAATATTTTTAGGTTTATTTACCCAGCAGAACTTGTGCCATTTTGGGCAGGGAATAAACGAGTCCCGCAAAGAACAATAGTACCTTATATAAAAGCAAGTAAAATTAAAAATTTTTTTTTTCTCTAGTCTGTTGGTTTATATTACCAAAATTCTATAAAGCCAAAAAAAAAATTAAAAAAAAATTTTTTTTTTTTTTTTTCTCGTTTTCCACTTTTTTATATTTCTATGTATTTATTTAACAATCGTCGATCGCATTATTATTTATTATTATTATTATTATTTTTGTATTGATATTTTATTTTTTTATTTAATAAATTTTTTATAATGTTTAATATTATTTTTAAGTTAAATTTTCTTAATTTTCTTTTGCTTATTATTTGTTTTTGTTTTTTTCTTTTGTTTTTTTTTTTTTTTTTTTTTTTTTTTTTTTTTTTTAAGGTTAAAAATTTATTTTAAACTTTAAAAAAAAATTTTTGGTTAAATTTTGATTTTTATTATTATTATTATTATTATTTTTTTTTTGTCAGGAAATAAAATTTTAAGTACATTGTCGCCTCTAATTTAGTTTATAGTTAAATTTTTTATTTTAATAAAATCGTTAAAACCTCCAGTCACGAGATGGGTTTTAAGGTTCAATAGTGTCACCATTTTAGGTGTAGCAAAGATTTTAATTTTCATTTTGTTGACGCATGAAAGAGTAGAAAGGTTTTTACATGCACCCACAGGCATCGACAACCATGTTAGGAAGTGTTTTTTGAGTTATTGTTTCATTGTTATCCATGTAAATAAGTTGAATAGGAGATAAATGAGTCGCCGTACAACAAGGTACCAATTCTACCTTTTTACCACCTCTTATTAATTTCTAAAATTAAAAAAATTTTATTTTATTTTTATTAATTAATTATTTTTTTTTTTTTTTTAAATAAAAATTTTTCAAGAATTATTTTAAATACCCGAACAACCGAATTGTATGCTGAACCACTCAAAGTCAAAGATGCTGCATTTGAACAGGATCCTCTGCAAAAATAAGCATCGTATCCTCTCGGCTGTATTATCCATTCGTTCCATCCTATGTCTACAAATGATATGTACAATTTTTCTCTACAACATTCTGATATTCCAGGCATGCAATTAACGTTTCTCTTAGGACGTCTTTTCTAAAAAAAAAAAAAAAAGTTTTCCCTGCTTAATAAGACGAGATAAATTTCATAATAACAATCATCATTATTAATATTGACTAACTTTTTTATTATTTTCAGTGTTTATAACTAAGAAAGGTAATTTTTCTGTTTTTAAAGAAACGGGCGTCCAAGGTCTCATGTAACCACAAGTTTTACACATAACTTGAATGGTGTGTCTTCTGATATTTTGTTCCAGCCATTTTTTTACAGTTTCCAATATATCTAATTTTATCCATCCCTCTGGAAATCATTTCGATCGTGATTAAAATTCAACGTAAGTATAAATTTCAATTAATTTTTTTTTTTTTTTTTTACATTTATAACCGTGAGAATTTGAAACTTGCCTTGTATTTCAGTTACGTGTCTTTCGATGACAAGAATTTGCGGCGAATTGATTTGATTAACTTCCAATATTTCCGAATAGACCAAAGTTTGATTAACGTTAGGATCACCGTCTAAAAAATCTTTTTCTTTGTATATCCAAAAATCGGTTAGCGCAAGATCTTCCATTTCCAAATCTTTAGGTAATTGAAATGTGAAACATGCAGACGGATATGGTGGAGTCAATCGTAAATACGATTCGCAAGCGGAATATTCTAAAAATGGGAAAAAAAAAATATAAAATTAACTCCTTCTACGACGTATGTGGATTTATTCAGGTATTTTAAAAAATAAATTTTTTTTTTTTCGATAATCATTCATCTGACGAAAACATTTCATAAAAGTTCAGACTTCATTCAATCATTCATTCATTCATAAAAAAATTTATTTATGTTAATTACAAAAGTGACGCGACTTATTTAAAAAAATTTTTGTGTCAGTAAATCAAAAGAGAAAAAAAAAAATCACATTTTTTAAAAAGTTTATC